CATCAGGCAAAAAAGGAGAGTGACAAAATGCCATGGCCCTATAAGTCTAGGTACTTCAGTTTCACCTCATCCTCGAGTACATACCACGCAGCAAGACACTTTGTAATCATTACAACTCTCTCCCTCTGACAAAGTTGACAAGACTTAGCGAAACACATGTCTTAGCGCCATGCCAAACACAACTGCTAGAATGAACTTCGGAGAGTTAATTTTTCAACTTCATTCTCAAATGAAGAAAATTTGTAACCAAAATAGAGGAGATTCGAGATAGACTCATTGAGAGAGAGAGAGAGACAGAGAGGAGAGAGAGAGAGAGAGAGAGAGAGAGAGAGAGAGAGAGAGAGAGAGAGAGAGAGAGAGAGAGAGAGAGAGAGAGAGAGAGAGAGAGAGAGAGAGAGAGAGAGAGAGAGAGAGAGAGAGAGAGAGAGAGAGAGAGAGAGAGAGAGAGAGAGAGAGAGAGAGAGAGAGAGAGAGAGAGAGGAGAGAGAGAGAGAGAGAGAGAGAGAGAGAGATAGAGAGAGAGAGAGAGAGAGAGAGAGAGAGAGAGAGAGAGAGAGAGAGAGAGACAGACAGACAGAGACAGAGAGAGAGAGAGAGAGAGAGAGAGAGAGAGAGAGAGAGAGAGACAGAGACAGAGAAGAGAGAGAGAGACCCAAGTGATACAAGCACTAGGCCAAAACTCCGAACTCTGCCAGTAAGTAGTTTTGAGAGAATGACCAAGTATAATTCACCAATTAGTCAGTCCTCTCACTGCAGTTGATGATTATACTCATTAATCACCAGCCGTCAGGATCAACATTAATCACCAGGCTTCAGACGTACGAAGCTAGTTGCTTGCCAGGCTTCAGACGTACGAAGCTAGTTGCTTGCCAGGCTTCAGACGTACGAAGCTAGTTGCTTGCCAGGCTTCAGACGTACGAAGCTAGTTGCTTGCCAGGCTTCAGACGTACGAAGCTAGTTGCTTGCCAGGCTTCAGACGTACGAAGCTAGTTGCTTGCCAGGCTTCAGACGTACGAAGCTAGTTGCTTGCCAGGCTTCAGACGTACGAAGCTAGTTGCTTGCCAGGCTTCAGACGTACGAAGCTAGTTGCTTGCCAGGCTTCAGACGTACGAAGCTAGTTGCTTGCCAGGCTTCAGACGTACGAAGCTAGTTGCTTGCCAGGCTTCAGACGTACGAAGCTAGTTGCTTGCCAGGCTTCAGACGTACGAAGCTAGTTGCTTGCCAGGCTTCAGACGTACGAACCTTCAGTAAGTGTGGTTGAAGCTTGGTTTACTGAAGCCGCTGGAGTCTTATATGTACCGGGATTAGTTATCTTCTTACAGGGGGCAAAGGTGTCATGTCCCATGGCTTCAATGATATCGTGGCTGCTATGATATCGTGGCTTCAATGATATCGTGGCTGCTATGATATCGTGGCTGCTATGATATCGTGGCTTCAATGATATCGTGGCTTATGCTTGCGTGGCTTCAATGATATCGTGGCTGCTATGATATCGTGGCTTCAGATGATACGTGGCTTCAATGATTGCGTGGCTTCAATGATATCGTGGCTTCAATGATATCGTGACTACAATGATATCTTGCCAGGCTTCAACGTACGAAGCTGCAATGATATCGTGGCTTCAATGATATCGTGGCTGCTATGATATCGTGGCTGCTCATGATATCGTGGCTTCAATGATATCGTGGCTTCAATGATATCGTGGCTTCAATTATATCGTGGCTGCAATGATATCGTGGCTTCAATGATATCGTGGCTGCTATGATATCGTGGCTTCAATGATATCGTGGCTTCAATGATATCGTGGCTTCAATGATATCGTGGCTTCAATGATATCGTGGCTGCTATGATATCGTGGCTGCTATGATATCGTGGCTTCAATGATATCGTGGCTTCAATGATATCGTGGCTTCAATGATATCGTGGCTTCTATGATATCGTGGCTTCAATGATATCGTGGCTTCAATGATATCGTGGCTTCAATGATATCGTGGCTTCAATGATATCGTGGCTTACTATGATATCGTGCTAATATGATGTCGTGGCTCTTAAGATATCGTGGCTCCTATGATATCTTGGCTCCTATGGTATTATTACTTGATTGATATCGTGGCTCCTATGGTATTATTACTTGTTTGATATCGTGCTAATATGATATCGTGGCTCCTATGATATCTTGGTTCCTATGGTAATATTACTTGTTTGATATCGTGCTAATATGATGCCGTGGCTCCTATGCTATCGTGACTCCTATAGTATTATACTTGTTTGATATCGTGCTAATATGATATCGTGGCTTCTATGATATCGTGGCTCTTATGATATCATGGCTCCTATGATATTGTGGCTTCTATGCTATCGTGGCTCCTATGCTATCGTGGCTCCTATGCTATCGTGGCTTCTACAGTATTATTACTTGCTTGATATAGTGCTAATATGATATCGTGGCTCCTATAATATCGTGGCTCTTATGATATCGTGGCTCCTATGCTATCGTGGCTCCTATGGTGTCGTGGCTCACATGATATCGTGGCTCCTATGGTATTACTGTTGATATCGTGCTAATATGATATCGTGGCTCCTATGATATCTTGGTTCCTATAGTATTATTACTTGTTTGATATCGTGCTAATATGATATCGTGGCTTCTATGATATCGTGGCTTCAATGATATCGTGGCTCCTATGATATTGTGGCTTCTATGCTATCGTGGCTCCTGTGATATCGTGGCTCCTATAGTATTATTACTTGCTTGATATAGTGCTAATATGATATCGTGGCTCCTATGATATCGTGGCTCTTATGATATCGTGGCTCCTATGATATTGTGGCTCCTATGCTATCGTGGCTCCTATGTATCGTGGCTCCTATGGTGTCGTGGCTCACATGATATCGTGGCTCCTATGGTATTATTGTTTGATATCGTGCTAAAATCATATCGTGGTTTCTATGATAATATTACTTGTTTGATATCGTGACTCCTACGATATCGTCGCTCCGCTGATATATTATCACTTGTTTGGTATTTGATATCGTAGCCCCTCCCTCCCATACCCCCCCCCGTTCCCTAGGCCCTCCACCTGTGTGTGTGTGTGTGTACTCACCTAGTTGTGCTTGCGGGGGTTGAGCTCTGGCTCTTTGGTCCCGCCTCTCAACTGTCAATCAATCAATTGTTTGGTACACTGTGGTACCTCTTTGTTCTGTGTGTGTGTGTTCACCTAGTTGTATTCATCTAGTTGTATTCATCTAGTTGTATTCACCTAGTTGTATTCATCTAGTTGTATTCATCTGTATTCATCTAGTTGTATTCATCTAGTTGTGTTCACCTAGTTGTATTCACCTAGTTGTATTCATCTAGTTGTATTCTAGTTGTATTCCTAGTTGTATTCACCTAGTTGTATTCACCTAGTTGTATTCACCTAGTTGTATTCACCTAGTTGTATTCACCTAGTTGTATTCACCTAGTTATATTCACCTAGTTGTATTCACCTAGTTGTATTCACCTAGTTGTATTCACCTAATTGTATTCGTTTAGTTGTATCCATCTAGTTGTGTTCACCTAGTTGTGTTCACCTAGTTGTATTCACCTAGTTGTATTCATCTAGTTGTATTCACCTAGTTGTATTCACCTAGTTGTATTCACCTAGTTGTATTCACCTAGTTGTATTCACCTAGTTGTATTCACCTAGTTGTATTCACCTAGTTGTATTCACCTAGTTATGTTCCGGGATTAGTTATCTTCTTACAGGGGGGGGGAATGGTGTTAGGTTCCTTGGCTTTTATGATATCTTGGATTCTGTGATATCGTGGCTGCTATGGTATTATTACTTGTTTGATATCGTGCGTCCAGCAGGAGCGGACCGTGCCTGCGGAGTGACCACACACACACACACACACACACACACTGTGTGTGTGTGTGTGAGTGTGTGTGTGTGTGTGTGTGTGTGTGTGTGTGTGTGTGTGTGTGTGTGTGTGTGTGTGTGTGTGTGTGTGTGTGTGTGTGTGTGTGTGTGTGTGTGTGTGTGTGTGTGTGTGTGTGTGTGTGTGTGTGTGTGTGTGTGTGTGTGTGTGTGTGTGTGTGTGTGTGTGTGTGTGTGTGTGTGTGTGTGTGTGTGTGTGTGTGTGTGTGTGTGTGTGGGTGTGAGTGTGTGTGTGTGTGTGTGTGTGACACACACCTTCATCCAAAGAGTAAGATATTACCGCTCGGGCCGGAGTCGTAACTCAGCCAACGATCGTAAGAGGAATGCAAGACGAATTTAATAATACCCAATGCGGGAGGGTGTTTCGCCTCCTTGTAGCCGCCGCTGCTGCTGCTCCTTCTCCTCTACCTCCCGCCCTGACCTTGGCGGGAAGCCGAAGACGTCTTCCCTATTAAGGTCCATGCAGGGAGCGGTAAAGCTACTTGCTTTTACGGTAAATATAGATGAAGCTGTTGCCTCGAGTACGATAATGCCAGGAACAGGCGTGGCCCAATGCCAGACATATAATATCGATAAATAATAGTTAGATATGGTATTAGGTAATGGTTTTAGCCTATTCCTTTCCCCCTTACCTCATCTCTCCCTTCCTACCCATCACCCTCACCCCATGGAGGAATTATGTGCTTTAATTCACGCCTTGGGACGAGTGGTCGGAGGCTGAGAAAGTGGGAGATGAGATCTTTGTCGGTACAAGATGATGTCCGCCCTCATACTTCCCAGTTCACACTGAGTGAGATGACAAGCTCCTCATACTTCCCAGTTCACACTGAGTGAGATGACAAGCTCCTCATACTTCCCAGTTCACACTGAGTGAGATGACAAGCTCCTCATATTTCCCAGTTCACACTGAGTGAGATGACAAGCTCCTCATACTTCCCAGTTCACGCTGAACCTCATAATCGCCCTCATACTTCCCAGTTCGAACAGATCAACAAAATAATATTATTGAAAACGTCTTCGTCTTGGTAATAACCGTTCAAGAAAACTATTTATTTCTCATATTTCTCATATTTTTCACTCATGCCTCACACTTGCTGCCGTCCTCCAAGGACCCCTCCAAGGACTCCCTCCAAGGACCCCTCCAAGGACCCCTCCAAGGACCCCTCCAAGGACCCCTCCAAGGACCCCTCCAAGGACTCCTCCAAGGACCCCTCCAAGAACCCCTCCAAGGACCCCTCCAAGGACCCCTCCAAGGACCCCTCCAAGGACCCCTCCAAGGACCCCTCCAAGGACTCCACCAAGGACCCCTCCAAGGGCCCCTCCAAGGACTCCACCAAGGACCCCTCCAAGGACCCCTCCAAGGACCCCTCCAAGGACCCCTCCAAGGACCCCTCCAAGGACCCCTCCAAGGACTCCCCAAGGTCAAGGACCCCTCCAAGGACCCCTCCAAGGACCCCTCCAAGGACCCCTCCAAGGACCCCTCCAAGGACCCCCTCCAAGGACCCCTCCAAGGACCCCTCCAAGGACCCCACCAAGGACCCCTCCAAGGACTCCACCAAGGACCCCTCCAAGGACTCCACCAAGGACCCCTCCAAGGACCCCTCCAAGGACCCCTCCAAGGACCCCCTCCAAGGACCCCTCCAAGGACCCCTCCAAGGACCCCTCCAAGGACCCCTCCAAGGACCCCTCCAAGGACCCCTCCAAGGACCCCTCCAGGACTCCTCCAAGGACCCCTCCAAGGACCCCTCCAAGGACCCCTCCAAGGACCCCTCCAAGGACCCCTCCAAGGACCCCTCCAAGGACCCCTCCAAGGACCCCTCCAAGGACCCCTCCAAGGACCCCTCCAACGACCCCTCCAACGACCCCTCCAACGACCCCTCCAACGACCCCTCCAACGACCCCTCCAACGACCCCTCCAACGACCCCTCCAACGACCCCTCCAAGGACTCCCTCCAAGGACCCCTCCAAGGACCCCTCCAAAGACCCCCTCCAACCTGAAGTTTTCTCCAACTGCTCCATGAGCCCGTCCCAGGGAGCTTGAGAGCTGTACCCTTGCACAGGAAGATAACAAGATATCACCTCCGCTATCCTGCAGGATAACAGTGACAATGAATACATTGTACCACATATTTCATTATACATCACGGAAGACCTGTACCCCTCCACAGGACCCCATTAAGACTAAGCTAAACTGTGAAAACTATATGATACTGTACCCTAATCAAACTATGATACTGTGTGTGTAAATTAAGATACTGTGTGTGTATAAACTAAGATACTGTGTACAGTAAGATACTGTGTGACCTTCACTGTGTGTGTAAACCTGAACTGTGTGTAAACTAAGATACTGTGTGTGTAAACTAAGATACTGTGTGTGTAAACTAAGATACTGTGTGTGTAAACTATGATACTGTGTGTGTAAACTAAGATACTGTGTGTGTAAACTAAGATACTGTGTGTGTAAACTAAGATACTGTGTGTGTAAACTAAGATACTGTGTGTGTAAACTAAGATACTGTGTGTGTAAACTAATATACTGTGTGTGTAAAAAGATACTGTGTGTGTAGACTACTGTGTGTGTAAACTAAGATACTGTGTGTGTAAACTAAGATACTGTGTGTGTAAACTAAGATACTGTGTGTGTAAACTAAGATACAGTGTGTGTATGTGTAAACTATGATACTGTGTGTGTAAACTATGATACTGTGTGTGTAAACTAAGATACTGTGTGTGTAAACTAAGATACTGTGTAAACTAAGATACTGTGTGTGTAAACTAAGATACAGTGTACATTAAGATAAGTACATAAGAACGAAGGTAAACTGCAGAAGGCCTTTTGGCCCATACGAGGCAGCTCCTGTTTATACCCACACAATCTCATTCATATATATGTCTAACCTACGCTTGAAACAATCAAGGGATTCTACTTCTATTATGTTATGCGGTTCATGGTTCGACAAATCAACAACCCTGTTACCGAACCAGTATTTACCCAGGTCTTTCCTATACCTAAACTTATCCAATTTAGTCCCATTGTTCTGTCGTGTCGATACTCGTGTTCTGTCTTGTGTTGATACTTTTAATACCCTATTAATATCCCCCTTTGTTAGGCCCATTCATCTACTTGTAAACCTCTATCATGTCACCTCAAATTCTTCGCCTTTCTAGAGAATGTAATTTAAACTTTGTTAATCTTTCTTCATATGAAAGATTTCTAATTTGGGGAACTAACTTAGTCATCCTACGCTGGACGCGTTCAAGTGAATTTATATCCATTCTATAATATGGCGACCAAAACTGAACTGCATGATCTAAATGGGGCCTAACCAGAGCAAGATATAGCTGAAGAACCACACCAGGTGTCTTGTTACTAACGCTTCGATTAATAAATCCAAGTGTCCGATTTGCCTTATTACGAACATTTATGCATTGATTTTTTGGTTTTAAAGTCTTACTAATCATAACTCCCAGATCCCTTTCGCAATCCGACTTCGCAATCTCAACACCATCTAGCTCTTATCTTGTAACTCTATCATCATTACCTAGCCTCAAAACTTTACATTTATCAGCATTAAACTGCATCTGCCAATCCTTTGACCATTTCAAAAACCCTATTTAGATCGTCTTGAAGTGATAGAGAATCTTTTTCGTGATTTTGTATCATCTTCAAAATTGTAAATGTTGCTACTCAAACCTGAATCTAAATCATTTATATATATTATAAACAACAGAGGTCCCAGGACAGAGCCTTGAGGCACCCCACTAACAACATTTTCCCACTCTGACTTAACCCCATTTATACTAACTCTGTTTCCTTTGGGATAGCCATGCCCTAATCCAACTTAATATAGCACCCCCAATACCATGAGCCTCTATCATTTCCGCAGCCTCCTGCTAGATCTGGTCCTGAGGAAACCTAGTTTACGGGCTCGCCATAGCCCGTGCTGCTTGGAACTTTTTGTTCCAAGTAGCGAATCTTAAACAACAAACCCTAGTTTCTCCTTCCCCCTATTCCTATTTCCTTGAGTTTCCTCCACCTCCTCTTCACTGGCCATCTTCTCGACGTCTCTTCCGTGCACAAGAGAGGTGACACCACAGATTGAACACACAGTCACTCACACCCCAGAAGTGACTCGAACCCATAGTCCCAGATGCAACGCAACTGGTATCTACAGGACGCCTTAAAACGCTTGACCATCACGACCGGACAAAAGGAATTGATAGCCGAAGCTATTTGAACCACTTCCCCGCCGGCACTCGGATGGTAATCTTGGGCATAGCATTTTATCAAATCACCTCATTCTTTGAGTTTTCAGTTTTCAGTCCTGGGGACCATTCAGGCTTGTTCGCATATATATATATATGGTTGGTGCCTCTAGCCTGCCTCAACCACTCAACTCCCCAGAGAGCGGCCTACCACCCTAATGCTATTACGGACAAACAGGTTTAAACACTCCCAACACACACTATTAAGTACTTTAAGAAGCGCCGAGAATGGCTTTAATGTCTGACTTTGATACGCTTTTGTGCGGAAGCCAAGTAATATATTCATTAACTTTTTGTACAGGCGAATGTTTAACGTGTTATGCCAGCGAAGGGGAGTTGTTCGGGGAGACATGCAGAACGAATTATATATAATTAAGTCGAAAGACTCCAATGAATATACGAGCGTTCGGGTCATTTGCATGTCTCCATGATCGGATCTCTGTATGATTGGAGAACTCTGTGCTTGGAGTGCTTCATGATTGGAGAACTTAGTGATTGGAGAACTCTGCTTGGAGTGCTTCTTGCTTGGATCTTTCTGCGATTGGATCACTATGTGCTTGGAACAATCCATGCTTGGATCACTATGTGCTTGGAACAATCCATGCTTGGAACAATCCATGCTTGGATCAATCCATGCTTGGATCAATCCATGCTTGGATCAATCCATGCTTGGAACACTCCATGCTTCGAACAATTCATGCTTGGATCAATCCATGCTTGGAACAATCCATGCTTGGATCAATCCATGCTTGGATCAATCCATGCTTGGATCAATCCATGCTTGGATCAATCCATGCTTGGATCAATCCATGCTTGGATCAATCCATGCTTGGAACAATCCATGCTTCGAACAATTCATGCTTGGATCAATCCATGCTTGGATCAATCCATGCTTGGAACAATCCATGCTTCGAACAATTCATGCTTGGATCAATCCATGCTTGGAACAATCCATGCTTGGATCAATCCATGCTTGCATCAATCCATGCTTGCAACAATCCATGCTTGGAACAATCCATGCTTGCATCAATCCATGCTAGGAACAATCCATGCTTGGAACAATCCATGCTTGGAACAATCCATGCTTGGAACAATCCATGCTTGGAACAATCCATGCTTGGAACAATCCATGCTTGGAACAATCCTTGCTTGGATCAATCCATGCTTGGATCTATCCATGCTTGGATCAATCCATGCTTGGATCAATCCATGCTAGGAACAATCCATGCTTGGATCATTCTGCGCTTGGAACAATCCATGCTTGGAACAATCCATGCTTGGAACAATCCATGCTTGGAACAATCCATGCTTGGATCAATCCAAGCTTGGATCAATCCATGCTTGGAACAATCCATGCTTGGATCAATCCATGCTTTGATCAATCCATGCTTGGAACAATCCATGCTTGGATCAATCCATGCTTTGATCAATTCATGACTGAAATCCTGGAAGCTTGGATAGGTTGATTAATTTAATGATTATCAGGGAGTAAGTAATTAAACAATTAGAATAATTGAGGCTAAACAAGTCCCCAGGTACAGAGGAAGCAAGTCCATTCCCTAAGCACCCTGGGGCCAGATTCACGAAGCAGTTACGCGAGCACTTACGAACGTGTACATCTTTCCTCAATCTTTGACGGCTTTGGTTACATTTATTAAACAGTTTACAAGCATGAAAACTTGCCAATCAACTGTTGTTATTGTTATAAACAGCCTTCTGGTGCTTCGGAGCTCATTAACTGTTTAATAATTGTAAACAAAGCCGCCAAAGATTGAGAAAAGATGTACAGGTTCGTAAGTGCTTGCGTAACGGCTTCGTGAATCTGGCCCCTGGCACAAATGAACTCTGAGACCCTATGTTATCTTGAGATGATTTCGGGGCTTTTTAGTGTCCCCGCGGCCCGGTCCTCGACCAGGCCTCCACCCCCAGGAAGCAGCCCGTGACAGCTGACTAACACCCAGGTACCTATTTTACTGCTAGGTAACAGGAGCATAGGGTGAAAGAAACTCTGCCCATTGTTCCTCGCCAGCGCCTGGGATCGAACCCACGATCACAAGTCCCGCGTGCTGTCCGCTCGGCCGACCGGCTCCCCTTTGTGCTGCATATTAAATGATTCATTAAAGTCGAGCAGAGTCCCAGAGTCATGGAGGGTTGCTAACGTGGTGTCGATTTCTAAAAAGGAAAAATAGATTACTTGTGTCGAACTATCGACCAATTAGCTTAAAGTTTATTATGGGGGATTAACTTGAAACTGAGCTCCCAGTATTGGAGGGTTGTATAAATAAATACATACATAGTTTTTTTAGGTACAAGTACATTCATACATATATACAGAGTTACAAACAGACTGTTCTATCCTGGGGATATCTATTGCTTCCTATACATATAAACGATTTAGATTAATGATTGAGGATCAATATTAGCAGATTTGAAGACGATGTGAAAATTGGACGTGAAAATTGATTTAGAAAACTCAAAATCACCTCAAGATGATTTAGAAAGACATTTGAAATAGTCGAAAGATTGGTAGATGCAGTTGAATGCTGACAAGCGAATGATTGGGCATAACAAGAGAGAGATATAATCAAGGGTTAAATGCATACAAAAAATAATAATACAGAAACAATGGATAAAAATGCGATAAGACAGGTGGAAAGACCTGGGTAAATACTGGTTGGTTTGTAAACACGTTTGTTCATTTTTGGGAAGTGAAAACCACAGTTACATCATAG